CCTACTCCTGTGCCCAGGTGTTTTGTAACCTGGTCATAAAAAGAGACTAGATTAGTCAGGCATGATATACCTGCTACGAACCTGTGCTGCTTTCCCCTCAGCATAATTTTTCCTGCTGAGCTCTCACATATGTGAGCCTTAATAATTTTTTCAAAGACTTTGCCAAGGATGGAGGTGAGACTGACTGGCCTATAGTTGCCTGGATCCTCCTTCCTCCCCTTCTTGAAAATGCTGATGCCCTACCCCTGCCCATTTTGTTGCCCCTCACTGACAAGCCACAGCCCCCCCAGCCCTGCTGCTGCCCCTCACTCCTGACTTACTGACCCCAGCCCTGCCATTGCACCTCACTCACAAACAGCAATACCCTGCCCCACCCCACCGGTGCCCCTCATGCTGGACCCGCAGCCCCTGCCCCCCAGCTCCACCAGTGCCCCTCCCTCTGTTTTCCCTGCTGCCTCTGATCGCCCTCCCCTTTCTCCCACCAGAGGAGCAAAGCAATATCAGGAACTCAGCTCCTGATCATGCATGTACCATGCTAGGTATTCTGGGAACTGTAGTTCTACGTAAGGGTGGCCATGCTGAAAATGGACCAGGAGAAGAAATCCCAGAAATTTGGCATGCATTTAAAAAACCTGCCCCAATGCAGCACAGGGGGCCAAAAAAGAGAACTTGTCTGGGAAAATCTGGATGTATGGTAACCCTAACTAATGCAACCTTTTCCCTAGGGCCCTGTAGTGACGGACAATGGGAATTTCATACTGGACTGGAAGTTTGACATGGTCCACAAGTGGAAGGACGTGAACACAGCTATCAAAATGATTCCAGGTAGTCTCTCTGGTTTAAAAAAGCCCTGCTGAACTTCTGATTCCAACTGGAAAAGTTATACCAAACTATCTATTTCGGGTAGCTGTGTGTGTGTATGTCCTATGTTTTGAAACTTAAGGTGCTTTGAACCCCAGTTCACTTGCAATGGAACAGCTAACTTTGCTTCCTCAACTAGAATAAGATGTACTGCTATAACTTCATCTACATGGAGTTTTATTTGGTCACTTCTAGTGAAGCAGCAGAAGGACCTGTTGAGGCTAGAGGTTTCTGATCAATCAGGTCCTTATGCCCTAGTTTTGCAAGGAACAGAGGCACATGCCAAACTTTAAGAATGTGATTGCAGTGAGACTAGCCATGTGTCCTTTTGGCTAAGATCAAATGTAGTTTTGGGCTGATGGGCTTGAACCAAGCAACATTCACTCAGGCCAGTGTCCAGGTGTCTTGTTGACATGGAGCCTAAAGGCCTGAGTGAATTTTCATTTGCAGTGGTGTAAATTCAGAGCAGTGCTTTTAGATAAATCCTTGTAAAGTCATTAAGAGCAGCAGTTCTTACTCTACTACCCCTGTAGACCAGACTTGATGGAAACGCACAGGAGTGGGACACAGGAGTGAGATTTTCAGACTTGCCTGTGACGACTGTCCCACTGAGGATCAGAGGGGCTCATCTGAACTCTTCTACTGCTTTTAACTTCACCACCACCAAAGAGCTGATCAGTGCACAAGTGCTTATTCCAGCGCAGCTACTCCACAGTAAGCAAGTAAACTGTGCTGGGGTAACTGTGTCCATACTGGAGGCTGCACCAGTTAGTGCTTGGGTAAATCCCATCCTAAGTTTAGAAAAGCATATGCAGGCTAGAAACAAGGCGGCAACATCAGGTGATTGTTGAACTTGAGGAAGATGACGCTTTGGGCAGCCAGTTACATTGAAGAAAAAAACATTCAGGACTGTTTGATATTTTTTTTTTTTTTTTTTTTTTTTTTTTTTTTTAAAAAAAAAAAAAAAAAAAAAAATATCAAACCCCTTTCTTTTTTTTTTTTTTTTTTTTTTGATATTTTTTTTTTTTTTTTTTTCTTCTCTGTTCTTGTGTAGCTCTAACAAGGGCCCTGGTGAATGCACTAGTTTCCACATGACCTTTTTTGTCAGATGAAAAACAAAATGTAAGTCTTAAGTCCCCAGGAAGAAACTTGTCTGCATGAATTAAATGGTTGCTTTCTTAATGGAAGTAGCTGCAATAACTAGATTCACCACTGAGTGGCAGCACAGTTTCAAAAATTTGTATAGTGCATTTGTTCAAGGTGGTAAGCAAATAATTGAAAGTTGATTCTGAAACTCTTCCGAAGTACAGAATTGCTTCATGTAGTACTGAAATGGAAAGTCAGATACGGCAGTTAGACCCAGCGACCGGAAAAATCAGCTTAAGGCAGAAGGTACCCAAGTGTGTTTCCAAGGGAACTTTTATTCCAGTTACCTGGAATAATGTTGTAACGGCAGCATTAACATTACTTTTATAAAATATGGAGTCTACTGTTCAGCATCAGAGCTGACAGCTCAGTAGCAGCGGGTTAACAAGGTTTTACCTAAGCAGGAAAGGGAGGTGTGCCAGGTGTGGAGTAGGCCTTGCAACTGCTCCAAGGGTCAGTGTTTGGCTGTGACTCTGGAAAAAAAAACTTTTTTTTTTTCTTTATTCTGCCTTGCCCAGACAAGGTGTGTGACTTATTTAGGGGCAAGTGGTATGTGAGAGAAAAAGGTAAGTCTCCCATTTGCAATCTAACTAAGCTCATCATTAGGCTATTTCTTTGTAATGGTCCTTTTCAGATCAGAAGAGGGAAGTAGATCATTTGATTCCTGCTCTATAATTCAGGTTGTAGAACTTCAGGCTTGTCCCTAGTGGGGCCAGTAGCTTTTTACTGCCTCCCCTTCCCTTATTTAATTGTAGTCATTCCAGTGTGGCCCCCTGTGCCACCCTACAGAGTTCTCTACTATATGACATCCCTAAAACTCTGGTGCTAATGCATGTGAGTTGTCCTATTGACTTTAATGAGCCTGCTTCTGTCTTCAGAGTTGAGACTGAATGAGGCCCAGTGGTGCAGTCTGTCATAGGTATATCAGGGTGTGGTGACTTCTGGTTTTGCTGTGAGCACACTCCTAGAAACATAGAAAATGAGGGTTGGAAGGGACCTCAGGAAGTCGCATCTAGTCCAAGCCCCTGCTCAAAGCAGGACCATCCCCAGCTAGATCATCCCAGCCAAAGCTTTGTCTAGTTGGGTTTTGAAAACCTCCAAGGATGGAGCCTCCACCACCTCTCCGGGTAACCTGTTCCAGTGCTTTACTACCCTCCTAGTGAGAAAATTCTTCCTAATATCTAACCTAAATTTCCTTTGCTGCAACTTGAGACCATTGCTCCTTGTTCTGTCATCTGCCGCTGCTAAGAACAGTCTCTCTCCATCCTCTTTCGCACGCCCCTTCAGGGAGTTGAAGACTGCTGTCAAGTTCCCTCTCAGTCTCCTCTTTTCCAGACCAAATAAGCCCAGTTTCCTCAGCCTCTCCTCAGGAGTCATGTCACCCAGCCCCCAAACCATTTTTGTCACCCTCTGCTGGACTCTCTTCAATTTGTCCATATCCTTTTTGTAGTGGGGGGCCCAAAACTGAACACAGTACTCCAGATGTGGTCTCATCAGTGCTGAATAGAGGGGAATAACTTTCCTTGGTTTGCTAGCAACGCTTCTACCAGTGCAGCCCAGTATACTGTTAGCCTTCTTGGCAACAAGGGCACACTGCTGGCTGATATCCATTTTATTGTCCACTGTCACCCCCAGGTCTTTTTCTGCAGAGGTGCTGCCTAGCCAGTCAGCCCCCAGCCTGTACTAGTGCAGGGACCTTTGTTACTTTACTGGTAATGCTTTGAACTGTTCATTTCGAGTGAATGGCTCCCATGAGTTGCCCAACTTGGGCTGTAAACAAGCATAACTTTTTTCTGAGGAAAAAGCCTTTTTGTCCTGGGATCCTACAGAAGTACCCGTCCATTGTCCTGCTTCAAGTACCTGTGAAGTATGAGAGAGGAAATGTGGTACTGTTTGCCTTGGGGTGGCCATCCGCCCCCAGTCCAGTGTAGCAAGTCAATTATCTGTAAATTAATTGTGGCCCATTCAAGTTAATTGCTAGTCAGGCTCTCCCTAGCCATCTATTTTTTGTTGCTCCCTGCCTTGAAGCCCCCCAGTGTCCTTTGTCTTCTCATTAAGCTCTTGTTCTCTCTCCTTAAGACCTGGGCTGCTGCCCTTTCTGATTTACTCAGCTTGCTCTGCTTTCCTGCCCACACCCTGCCTGGGCTCAGCCAGCACCCTCTGCCTCCTGCCTCCTCTGTACTCTGCCCCCTTCCTGTTTCCCCCAGTAGTTCCCTGTCCTTTAAACTTCTTCCTGGCATACAGGCTTGCATTATGACTTGCTTCACTTGCTTCCTTCTCCTGCCCAGGATATCTTGAATTATGTTCCCTGGGACCCCAAGTCTTGCAAAGTAGTGAACATCTTCCAGTCTTATCAACTGGCACTCCTGCAGGGAGTGCTTCTAGATTATAAACAGTGGACAAGATGCACTTTAGGCTCATTTTGCAGGCTTAGTACTGCTTGGCAGAGCCCTCTAGTGGAGATATGGTAGGAGGTGACAGAGGCATTCTGGACTTTAAGGTAACGCAAGCCCTTTTCTATAATGCCCAGTTGCCTTCACCCTCTGATTCAAATGAGGTACCATTTACAGCTGGGCTGACTGGAGGCAGGCTTTGGCACAAGCCCAGGTTAAAGCTTTGAGCTCGCACCTCTGGACATCTAGCTACCGACCTTCACTTCTCTGCCACTGCATCCCATTAACAGTAACAAGCAAAAACCTGGCACCGTTGGAGTCCATGGTGAAACTCCGTGTGCTTTCAGTTGTTGTATGTTTGTTTGGCCCTGATGTCTAGGAGCCCAGACATGGACCAGCGCCCCAAGCACTGTACGAACACTGACTGTACACGCCATCCTTGCCCCACAGAGTTTGACATCTATGACCAGAGACATTCAATAGGTCCATAGATGAAGGCGTATAAAGGAAGAATGAAACTGAGTTGATGGATGTGATGGTGTCAGTCTCAACACACCAGCAGCCTAATCATTATCAACTTCAGCGGGCACAGGAGTTCACCCATCTTGACCTGTTCAGGCCTCGTGGACAGCTGGATATCATTCTGCACTTGCTTCCAGCAGCCGGTAGATGTCAGTCTTGAGCCTCAGGAAGTGATGCTGCTAAAACAAGACTAAAGTAACTAGGAAGAAAAGTTCCCCCCTAATTCTGTGTGTAGTATTTCACAGGTGGGGCTAGGTGGTTTCAGGACTGGCAGGGAGAATCCTTTGCTATCCATCTCCCTTTATGCTCGCAATGCCTTTATTCTCTGTTCAGAAATATGCCCTGCTCAAGAAAAACCCATAGTTCTGCGAGGGCAGGAGAGGTAAAATTTCAAGGTTATGAAGATGTGAGCCTTATAATGAAGAGCTCCCACTGACAGTACTCCTGCTACCCTTGTCCTCTCTTCCTGTGCCCTTTTGTGCCACTTGTCCTGTAAGGCATGAGCTTGGGGTTTGATTGTACAGATGCCTGTTTCAGAGCATATGGCTTTCTGACAGCAGGGGGGTCTCAGCAAGTAGCCCCTGCGCCTGGTGAGAACCTTGTAGCCGGACTCCAGCATTGCAGAGCCTTGCCAACTGCAGATGGCCTCAGGGATCCCTTTGTAATAAGTCCGCTCATACTCTTCCCCCCATGTTAAAAGAACATTACTGAGGGTGCAACGGTAAGTGCTTAGCTAGGGAAGGCCAGCATTTAGCCTGTTGGACAAGCTGGCTTTGGCTCATGTCTGCTTATGCGTTTGAATACAGTCCCTGATTATGGACTACTGTAATATTTTCTCCCACCACACCCCTTGGCTCACCTAGTACCCAGGATTGTGCTCACCTGTTGAGCACCTATTCAGTATTTTATTTTCCCTTTGTTCAGTGGCTCCAAGGCCTGTTCACTGCTGGCAATTATCTTGTTCTGAAGACTGGATGATTTCTTTGGGCTCTTCTGTGCTACAGTATTCCAGCACTTTACCAATGGGTTTGTTTTCACCCTCTTCCCCCCTGAAAAGCTTGGGAACTTCCCCATTATAGGAGGTGACGTGGACACAGATGCTAAGCACCTAGCACGCTGAAATCCTAGTCTGTGGATTGGACCTCCTATGTCCTTCAACAATAGAAATAGTGAGAGACCCAGGTCAGAAATATTAAGTGTCCAATATGAGCTTATGAAAACCTGAGTACTTGACCATTGTCGCACTTGGGATGTTGTAGCTGTGGGTGCCTGGGCTCTTCTGTAGTTCAGGCCCCAGGGTACCAAGTCAGGTAGCCAGAAAATGGAGAGCATGTGATGAGTGGCAACTCAGGAAAGGTTTGGCTTAAGGGTCTGGACTTGCACTGCATAGGACACTTACAGCAGACACTGTGGGGGAGACTCTGATTGTCTGGGGTGACATAGGCTGTGTGAAGGAAGTCCGTCCTTTCTGCAATCTCTGCCTTATTCTCTACGCATCTTCCAAAGCCTGGAGCAAATAAAGCTGCAGTTTGGGAGACAAGTCAAGACCTCTTCCAGTCATCTTCAGTGCACCTGTCCTATGCACTGAATGAGCTGGGGATCCTGAAGAAAGGATGGCATCTGCTCATGTGACTAAAGATTAAATCACAGCTCAACTGCACAAGGAGGTGAAATGGAGCTTTCACGGGCATTTTGTACATGATGTTTCCCAGGTGTGTTAAGAACATTTTATTTACTTAGTTACTAAACACCAGCTGAGAAAACCAGGCTCTGTTGCAAGACTTCAGGCTGATAATCATGGGGTTAGACCCTTTAAACCTGTTACATAGAGCCCCTTGAGCTCCTGGAGCGAGTGACGGTGTATCCAGTGAGTGGAGTAGCACTGAGGGGAAGGAGACACTTCCCTAGCTGGCTGTGCAGGTGGTGGCTGAGAGCATAGGACCCATGAGACTGGGATGCTGGGTTGCTTTCTGTGCCCCAGAGTGGAGTGCGCTCTCCTGGGCGTGGACTCTTGTCCCCGTTCCTTCCAACCTGCCTCTGTGTTGATCTTGTCTCAACCCCTACCTGGCCCCTTGTTCCAGTTCTGCTGTCCCTATTTTGTCACGTTGAAGCTCCACACTTAAGGCTGCTGATGTGGTCCCTGTCTCCTCACCCACTTAGTTCCATTCTTCTCCCTTTAAATTTCCAGTTCCAGCTTCTGGCCTTTCCAGTCTTGCCCAGCCCAGTCCCATTTCTCTTCTTCACTCCTCAGTCTGTCATCTCATTTCATTTCTCCATTCCCACTAGCTCTTTCCCCAGGTTTCTCATCCAGTGCTGTGCCCAGGCCTGCTCCAGATCCATGTCCTGATCTCTGCCCAGCCAGTCACTGGTCCCCTGCCCCTTGCTCCTCATCCCGTCCCCTCACCCAGTCCGCCACTGACACCTTCCTGTCCCTTCTAGCACCCAGTCTTACCCAATAAATCCGTTTTCCCCCTCCAGGCTCCTCCTTTCCTGGCCTTTCTCTACAATATTGTAGATCTGATTTGTCATCCCCTCTGCACTTGAATCAAACAGCTTCTTCCTCTTCACTGCCCAGTTGTCAGCAGATGCTCCCAGAGAGCACCTCAGAGACCAGCCCCTGATCTCAGTCCCATTGCATCCCAGAGCAACAGCCTGTACTGGGAAAGTCCATCCAAGTCCTTGTAGGCTGGGGCTGAAAGCATCTTGCTTGCTCTGTGTGGATGATGCACACTTCGGGGTTGTGAGGGTCAAGCTGGCTTAGTAAAACTGGAGTCTTCTAAGGGTTTAGCTGCTGAACTCCAGCAAGTCTCTGTGAACTATGTGTGAACAGCAGGTTTCTTTCCTCAAGGTCTCATAGCTTTGGTCAGATTTTGGCCTGGGTTCACATAGCTGGCAAAGGTACATCCCCTTACATTCAAATTCCCAGGTGCTCGGTTTCAGGCCTCTGCTCTGAAGCATGGGGATGCTAGAGATGTTCAAGGAAAGGTGGCTAGCATGTTTTCAAAGTTGGTAAAATAAGGTATATTGCCCTACCTTCATTCTTGAAAATGACTAAAGCATTTTGGCTCACTTTCCCCAGAAAATCTTACAGGAGGCAGAAAGTCAGCGTGAAACATTTCCGCCCAAATGTTTGTTTGGCAAGGTCACAAGCAACTGAAAACAGGGTTTTACAGTGACAAGTGCTGGACGGGTGACAGTGTGTTGTACAGCCAGCTGTGCCTGTAAGACAGGACTGTCCTCCCACATGGCGTCAGCGGCCTGCTTGTTTGGAGCAGTGTTACTAGCCAGTAGCCTCTGGTCCAGGACAGGGTGCAAGAACCCTTTGAATCTATTCAGCACCACTGAAGCCACGTCTGCAGAGCTGTGTTCAGTTTTGGGCCCTCGCTATAGAAAAGATGTGGACGGATTGGAGAGAGTCCAGCGGAGGATGATAAAAATGGTTCGGGGCTGGAGCACATGACTTCCGAGGGAACTGGGTTTATTTAGTCTAGAGAAGAGGAGACTGAGAGGAGACTAAATAGCAGCCTTCAACTCCCTGAAGTGGAGTTCGAAAGAGGATGGAGCTGAACTGTTTTCAGTGATGGCAGAGCAAGGAGCAACGATCTCAAGTTGCAGCAAGAGAAGTTTAGGTTAGATATTAAGAAGAATTTTCTCACTAGGAGAGTAGTCAATCCTGGGACAGGTTACCTAGAGAGGTGGGGGAAGCTGCATTCTTGGAGGTTTTCAGTGCCCGGCTGGACAAAGCTTTAGTTGGGATAATGTAGTTGGAGTTGGTCCTGCTTTGAGCAGAGGCTTGGAGTAGATGAACTCCTGGGGTCCCTTTCAACCCTCATTTTCTATGAGTGAATGGCACAGCCTGTCTCAAGGGAAGTAGATTACCCCCTTCTATTCCCATTCAAATTTAGGTTGGCTTATGCCCAATAATTTAAGGACAGAGGGCTTGCCTGTAGCCGGGAAGCTTAGCATCATGAAGATGGTAGACTTTGCGTGCCGTGTTAATGAATAATGGTTCAGTACCTAACACGAAAGGACTAGAGCAGATGGGGTTAGACCAGGAGATCACTAACTTGCCCACGATTTCTCCATTCCCAGGCGTGGTGGAAACAGGCCTGTTCATCAACATGGCGGAAGCAGTTTACTTTGGAATGGAGGATGGCTCCGTCCGCATGCGTGAGAGACCGAGCCACTGACACCGGTCAGCCACGCTCTCTCCTTTGCCTTTGGCCAATTCTCGGCTGCTGTCATCAGTGCCAATCTGAGATTTTGCCTTAACGAGCGACCATCATGACAGAAGAGGATGGCTTGAATGTCAACCGAATCCACTGATATGATACTGAATGTTTCTCTCTTCTCTCTCTCTTCTTTTTTTTTTTTTTTTAAACAAAT